TAAGCCCATTCTCAAAAAGTAAAATGGCCAAACCTACCTGATATTTCCCCGTTGGAAAACTTAAGAGTTGTTCAAAAGCCAACTTTGCTGCTCCAGTGGCTCTATACAGGCCTTCCACAGCAGCAATTGTCTATTCAGGCTGGGATTCAGCAGACTGGTAAAGACGGAAATTTAGAGGGATAGCAGTTTCCTGTTATAATGCATCATCAAAATGAGCAGGGACAGTTTCAGGTAACATTGAAGCCTTTTCCATTTAAATTCCATTTAAATTTCTTAAGAAACTTAAACAAGCAATCAATAATGCTAATACAAAATGGCAGACTGCTAAACAGCCTTTTAAAGGGATAGCTCATTTAATAGACTATATTAAGGCTCATGATGGCAATGGAGGAAATTTACATAAGGCTACATTATTAGTGCAAACTATGGCAGGATTGAGGGTAAACAATGGGACTGCTGCATTTCCCGGAGCTTGTTTTCATTCTGGCAAAAGGGAACACACCAAAAGGACTGCAGACAAAATCTAGGAACAGGACCTCAGCTGAGGATAATAACAAAAAATACTAAACCAGGCATTTGCCCTAAGTGTAAAAAAATTAATAAATAAAAATAATCGGGCTAATCAATGTCATTCAAAATTTAATAAGGAAGGGAACCCGATTCCAACTGGGGCCTATCGTGCTCAAGCTACTCTCTCATCTCTGTACAATGTTTGTCCCCTGCCACCAATAAAAGCATAGCAGCAAATTTGTGTAGCACTCAGAAAGTAAATATTTTACCTGGGGAGCCTCCACGAAAAAATACCAGCAGGAGTTTGTAAGCCATTACCTACAGAAACAGTGGTTTTGCTTTTAGTAAAACCTAGCCTTAATACTAAAGGGATAAAATTTCATACAGAAACTGTTATAGTGGACCGAGCATAGAAAATTAACACCAAGACAAAAGTATGCCAGATTACAGGATCTTTATTATGCCGGTGACCACAGAGGACTCATGTCTCTCCAACCTGTGGCGTGGAAAGGAGGGTGCCAAGACTTTTTATACCCGAAAAACCACCTTGGGGGTGGGGGTGAGGAGCAGGGATGGGGATAAGGAGCGGGGATGGGGATGAAAAGGCTTCACACATTCCGAGGGCTAGTGGATTCTGTAAATCATCTCCTGGGCGGAGATGAGGGTTCTGGATATTCCAAGGGCCAGAGGACTCTTGTCATTCCGTTTGTTACTTAAGTGTTTTACAGACGTCAAGATAAACATTTGTTTACACATTATCTGGGTAAGGTGGAAATCACAGACCTTAGTTACTTATCACAAGTCGCAGGGGCCAAGATGGCATTAGTTTGGGCTGCTTAGTCTGGCAATTGCTGGTAAGCAAAGGCTAGCAATTCTGGCAGTTACTGATAAGAAAAGGTAAGCAGCTTTACACAGTGGCTAGTTTGCAGAGCAAACTAGAAGTTTTATTTGCAGTAGCCAAGACTAGCAGTTATTGTGAGGAGAATGGGGCAGCCATTACAACTTATTTTAAAAAACAGCTTTTTCTTTTATAATACGATGTTGTTCAGGCTCTAACTCTAGGCCAGCTACAGCACAATATCACAAACTATTAATATTAATTTTACAGGGGAAATGCAAATTGTAATGTCATTTTCCAATACTTGCAGTGCTAAACCTAAAAAACACATAGCACAAATCTTAATTTTACCTTACATCAAATTAGGTCAAAGCAAAGATAAAAGAATTGGAGGATTTGGAAGTACAAATAAGCAAGGCAAAGCTTCATACTGGATATATCAAATCACAAATAAACACCCAGCATGTAAAGTCACTATTCATAGAAAAAAAAAATTAAAGGTTTAGTTAATACTAGCACAAATGTCTCAATTATTTCTGTTCAGCTCTGACCCTTTTCTTGGCCTGTATAAAATGCTCACTCTAATATAGTCAGAGTGGGGCAGGCCTCAGAAGTTTATCAAAGCAGTCTTATCTTACCATGTAAAGGGCCTGAAGGACATGCTGGGCCTATTCAGCCTACTGTAACTCAGATTCCTATTAACTTGTGGGGAAGAAATTTATTACAGCAGTGAGGAACCAAAGTCTTAATACCTGAACAATCGTATAGCTCCCAAAATCAACAAATAATGGAAGCCACGGGCTATGTGCCTGGAATGGGAATAGAAAAATTTTACAGGGTCTAAAAGAATCTTTAGAAGTTAAGGGACAAAGTTCTCAACATGGTTAGAATATCATTTTTAATGACAGCCATTATTAAACCTCCAAAACCAATAGCTTAAAAACGGTTAGATAATAAACCAATTTTGATAGAACAATGGCCACTTACAAAAACTGGAGATTTTTTTAAATGTAGTTGCTAAACAATTAGAAAAAGAACATATGGTTCCCACATTTTCAGCTTAAAACTCTCCTATTTTTGTAATAAAAAAGAAATCTAGAAAATAAAAATGTTAACAGATCTTAGAGCAATTAATGCAACTATACTACTTTTACCCACAATGATTCAAAAAAGTTGTCTACTAACTATTATTGATTTGAAGGACTTTTTTTTTTTTTACAATTACTTTGGCAGAAAAGAACTGTAAGCAATTTGCCTTCACTTTTCCTTTTGTACTAATCAAAAACCTGCCAAAAAATATTATTGAAAAGTGCTTCCCCAAGGGATGGTAAACAGTCCCACAATTTGTCAAACTTATGTGGACAAAGCTATTAAGCCCACCAGAAAAAAATTTCCTCAGTGTTATATTATTCATTATATAATACCCTTTGTACTGCCCCAAATAAAGAGTTACTTATACAATGCTATAACCATTTAAAAAAGAAATCCATTCAATGTACTGGGTTAATAGTGGCTCCAGATAAAATTCAAACTACAACTCCTTATTTGAATTTGCGCACGTTGGTAAAAAAATACCACTAAATCACCTCAAAATGTGTCCATCAGAAGAGAGAATTTAAAAGCTCTAAATAATTTCCAGAAGTTACTACGAAATATCAATTAGTTAAGACCTACTTTAGCCATTCCAACTTATGCTATGAGTAATTTGTTTTCTATTCTTTGAGAAGATTCCAGTCTGCATAGTCCTCAAGAGTTAACTTAAAAAGCTAAAATGGAATTGCAAGTAATCAAAGAAAAAAAATTCATAAGACTCAAGTAAATAAAATTAATCATAACAAGCCTTTAACATTATTAATTTTCCCTATTCAACACTGTCTTACACTCTCTTAGTAATAATCTCTTAGGAGTTATTATTCAAAATCAGCACTTAGTGGAGCGGCTGTTTTTACTTCATAATAGTACTCACATTCTTACTCTATATTTGGACCGAATTGCAACTTTGATTGGAATGGGGAGGTCTCAAGTTGTAAAATTGCATGGATTTAATACCATAATAGTGCCTCTTACAAAAATTCAAATTCAGCAAGCCTATATTAATAGTGTTAACATGGCAAACCTATTTGCCAAGGTTCATGGGCACTTTAGATAATCATTATCCAAAAAAACAAAAATTTTTCTATTTTTAAAATTAACCAATTAGATTTTACCCAAAATTACTAAGTCAAATCTCATTGAAAATGCAGAAAATGTTTTTACAGATAAAATCTAGTAACAATAAATCTCCTTATTTAGGATCTAAAAACAAAGTTATTCAAACTCCTTATACACAATTGGGCCTGGCAGAGGAGCCAGGGAAGGGTGTGGCCAGAATGGACAACTAGACCTTTGAATCTAGGCCACTCGTAGGCAGACTAACAAGTGTTGGTGCAACCAGCTCAGGCAGCTTTATGTAAGGGCACCTGCTAGTTAGGAACATGCACCCCACCCCAGGCCCCAATCCCAGACCACCGGCCTGCACTGGGCATTGTCTCATCTTGGCAGAAATGTATGGGGGTGATGATCAGGTGGTGTGTCCCTGGGTCTCAGGCCTCAGAAGTTCCTTAGGAACTGGGCAGTCACTGGGCAGTGGGAGGGGTCCAGGGACCCCTTGTATGTATTTGCCCATGGAATGTGTTCCTACCCCAGCTTCTCAGCCCTCACTAGGAGAGTCCAGGACTTCCACCTGCTCTCTGTTTCCAGTTCTGATCCACTCACCTGGTGACTCTGAAGGCTTCCTGACTGCAGCCTGGGTCCTCCTCTGTTAGATGGGGGTCCCAGGCTTCCTGCAGACAGAAGCCAACCACCAGCCCCACCTTGGAGGTTGGATCTGTACCTCTTTTTTTGAGATGGAGTCCCACACTGTCACCCAAGCCGTAGTGCAGTGGTGCAACCTTGACTCACTGAAATCTCTACCTCCTGGGTTCAAGCGATTTTCCTGCCTCAGCCTCCAGAGTAGCTGGGACTACAGGTGTACGCCACCATATCCAGCTAATTTTGTTTTTGTATTTTTAGTAGAGACGGGGTTTCCCCATGTTGGCCAGGAGGGTCTCAATCTCCTGACCCTGTGATCCGCCCGTCTCGGTCTCCCAAAGTGCTGGGATTACAGGCGTGAACCACCGCTCCTGGCCCTTAGTTGTTAAAGTATAATTTTTTTCTCTCTCCTGTCTCTCATTTTTACTAAAGAAAAATCATGATATGACCAAATGTCTCTATTATACTTGGCCTGAATATTTGTATAAAGTATAGCAAGAATAATTATTTTTTACATAGGTTTTCAAAATCGGATTTCACAAAACTTTGTTTCATAAAGTGAATCTCAGACAAGACTTTTTAAAGCTGAGCCCAGCCATGGGTCTGTCCACTCAAATAACTATATGAGTTGTATAAATATCTCTTTTGAGGTCACAGGATAAATTGGATCTCATAAGCCTGTCAGGAAGTGACATTATTTATTTAACACAGGTTACTTATAGGGAATGTGTAGACAAGGTATGAAGCCAGTTTTCCCAAAGGGCTTTTATTGACTCTATACGTCAAGTTTGATTCCTTAGGGGAAAGCATGCCATTCCAGTCAAAGCCTTGCCAAAATAACGAATTTCTCCAATTGTGTATTGTTGCAGAAGAAAACATTCCTTTGCACTTATGCAGATTATATTGTCGTAAGTTAAGAATACTCAAAAATAGATTCTAAATTCTGGAGAAAACAGGTAGAGAGAAATAAATATGCTCCTAATTTTGTTTACTCAATTGGAGTATATTTTACTCAATTGCTAAAAGCTGTAAATAGCTCAAAATAAGTTTCCGGGACTCTGATAAACAAAACAAAGGATCAGTAATATTTTAAGCAAAGTCTAAAAGATTACTTCAGTCTTATATTAGTTCACTCCATGCAGTTATCTCCTATTCTGCTTGATATTCTTGAACATTTCAGGTCTCCACGAGAGTCCTGAAAGTTTTTTCTTTATGCTAATGATAAAATTTCCAAAGTTATCAGAAACCTGCATTTAAGAGCACCTGTCAATGTCCTATAGAAGATTATAAATCACCTTTCAAAGACGATTAAAGCAAGACAACAAATGTCTGTGGATGACAAAGAAGTCTTAGGATAACATATTTACGCAAATACAGCCCAAGGAAAATGAAACACCATTTCACATTTGGCAATGCTTTCTTTTTTTTCCTGAGATAGAGTTTTGTTCTTGTTGCTCTGACTGGAGTGCAATGCTGCAATCTCTGCTCACTGAAACCTTCACCTCCTGGGTTCAAGTGATTCTCTGGCCTCAGCTTCCTGAGTAGCTGGGATTATAGGTGCTTGCCACAACACCTGGCTAACTTTTTGTATTTTTAGTAGAGACGTGGTTTCACCATATTGGCCAAGCTGATCTCTAACTCCTGACATCAGATGATCCACCCTCGCTGGCCTCCCAAAGTGCTGGGATTACATATGGGAGGCACTGTATCCGACCTGACAATGCCTTCTGACAGTTCTTCCTGTATGGTTTTTATACCAAATAAGCCAAATGTCATTTATGTACTTGAGGGGGCATAATATCTAAAAGATATGTATGTAAGAAAAATATATAATTTATAATTTGATTTTTACAAGTTTGTCAGATATCAAATCCCAGGTTATCTTAAGTCACTCATTAACCAAAGTGATAACTCAAAAATTGTAAAAAGTCAAAAACCTTTGCTCATTAATAGAGGGATGACTTCACTTTCCAAATAACATATTTTTTCCCTTTCCTGTTGCTCCAGTTTATTCAAAAGGGCAGAAAAAAATCTTTCATTTTTAAAATAATACATGAAAATCTTGTTCACAGGGAAAAGCTAAATCTCACCTTTGCATCAGTGCATTATTTATATCAAACCTAATTCTTAATACAAACTTATTAAACCTCCTTCATGACAAGAAACTGAAGCACTACAAAGAGGTTTTGAAACTTGGAGTGAATGACAGTATGTTTCAGTATTGCTTCATCTACTCAAGGGTAAACAATCAAATCTCTTCTCAACTGTTATCTAGAGAGGACATCCAAGATGGCCGATTAGGAGCAGCTCAGGATTGCAGCTCTCAGCAAAAGCACGGAGGGTGAGTGGACACTGCATTTCCAGACAGATTTTTAATGCCCACAAACCAGGAGATTCCCAGGTGGAGGAGCCCCATGGGTCTCCAGCATGGCTGGTTTGGCCCCCCCCAGCTGTTTTGGCCTGCACAGCTGTTTTCGCCAGTGCGGCTGTTTGGCTGGTGCCCCGGCGTTGTGGTTCTCCATACAAAATACATGGGTCCGGGTGCCATTTTGGCTGGTGATTGGAGCTCTGGGAAGGCAAAGTCGCCCATTCATCTGATTAAAAAGGGGACTGAAACAGGGAGCCAGGACAGGCGATTTCCAGGCAAAAAAGCACCACGAATCTCAGTGCTGCTGTTTCAGCTAGCTCAGTGGGTCACCCCACGGGAAATCACACAGATCCCAGAGACTTATCAACAGGCAACTAGAACACCTGGGAGACAGTCAACCGTTAACTTTAAAAAAAAATTTTTTAAAGGGGCTCTGAGGCAGGGAGCCAGGTGATCAGGCTCGACTGGTCCCACCTCCACACACACAAAAAAGCAATCAGAAATGCTCTGGATTGAGAGTTTCACAGCAAGCACAGCTGAACCCGGGAAGGTCCGGCTTTGTGGGGGAGGGGCGTCCACCATTACTGAGGCAGTCCATCACTACGGAGGTAGTTTGCCATTCCTGAGGCAGTCTACCTTTGTTGAGGCAGTCTGCCTTTACAGAGAGAGTCCACCATTATAGAGGTGAGCCACCAATGCTGAGACAGTACTAACTACACCCATATAAACAGGACTGCAGGGAAGTTCACACAGCAGCTGGGCAGAGCCCACAGCAGCTCAGCAAAGCCTCTGCAGGCAGGCAGTGACTAGGCTGCCTCCTCCCTGGGTAAAGCAGCCATGAAAAAAGCCAGCAGCAAAACAGAAACTCATAAATAAAGCCCTAACTCCTCGGGACAGAGCACCTGGGAAGAAAAAAAAAGGGGGGGTTTACGAGTTCTGCTGCAGCAGACTTAAATGTACCTGTGCAGCAGCTCTGAATGAACAATGGAGCTCACAGCTCAGCACTTGAGCTCCTATAAAGGACACACTGTCTCCTCAAGCAGCTCCCTGACCCCTGTATATCCCAAGAGTCACCTCATAAAGGAGAACTCAGACTGACAACTGGAGAGTATCTTTCTGGGACAAAGATAGCAGAAAAAGAAACTGGCAAAACCCTTACTGTTCTGCAGCTGCTGCAGGTGACCCCCAGGCAAGCAGGGCCTGGAGTGGAACTCAGCAGTCCTACAGCAGAGGGGTCAGACTGTTAGAAGGAAAACTAAGAAACAGAAAGAAATAACTTCATCATCAACAAATGAGACATCCACTCAGAGACCCAATCGGAAAGTCAACAACTACAAAGACAAAACGTGGATAAATCAACAAAGATGGGAAGAAACCAGTACAAAAAGGGTGAAAACACCCGAAACCAGAATGCATCCCATCCTACAAAGGATCACAACTCCTCAGCAGCAAGGGAGCAAGGCTGGATGAGGAGAATGCATATGATGAATTGACAGAATCAGGCTTCAGAAGGTGGGTAATAAGAAAGTTCTGTAAGCTAAAAAATCATGTTCTAACCCAATGCAAAGAAACTAAGAACTTTGAAAAAAGATTTGATGAAATGCTAACAAGAATAAACAACTTAGAGAGGAATATAAGTGAATTGATGGAGCTGAAAAACACAACAAGAGAACTTCACGAAGCATACACAGGTTTCAACAGCTGAATTGACCAAGCAGAAGAAAGGGTAGAAGAGGCCGAAGATCAACTCAATGAAATAAAATGAGAAGACAAGATTAGAGAAAAAAGGGTAAAAAGGAATAAACAAAGTCTCCAAGAAATATGGGACTATGTGAAAAGACCTAATCTATGTTTGATAGGCGTACCTGAAGGTGATGGAGAGAATGAATCCAAGCTGGAAAATACTCTTCAGGATATTATCCAGGAAAACTTCCCCAACCTAGCAAGGCAGGCCAATATTCAAGACCAGGAAATACAGAGAACACTACAAAGATATTCCTCAGAAAGACCAACTCCAAGGCACATAATCATCAGATTCACCAGGATTGAAATGAAGGAGAAAATACTAAGGCAGTCAGAGAGAAAGGTCGGGTTACCCACAAAGGGAAGCCCATCAGACTTACAGCAGATATCTCAGCAGAAACCCTACAAGCCAGAAGAGAATGGGGGCCACTATTCAACATCATTAAAGAAAAGAACTTTCAACCCAGAATTTCATATCCAGCCAAACTAAGCTTCCTAAGTGAAGGAAAAATAAAATCCTTTGCGAAGAAGCAAGTAATCACAGGTTTCATCACCACCAGGCCTGCCTTACAAGAGCTCCTAAAGGAAGCACTGAACATACAAGGGAACAACCAGTACCAGCCACTCCAAAAACATACCAAAGGGTAAAGAGCATCAACACAATGAAGAATCTGCATAAACTAACGGGCAAAACAGCAAGCTAGAATAAAAATGGCAGTATCAAATTCACACATAACAATATTAACCCTAAATGTAAATGGACTAAATGCCCCAATCAAAAGACACAGACTGGCAAATTGGATAAAAAGCCAAAACCCATAGAAGTGCTGTATCCAGGAAACCCATCTCACATGCAAGGATACACAAAGGCTCAAAATAAAGGGACGGTGGAATATTTATCAAGCAAATGGAGAGCAAAAAAAAGCAGGAGTTACAATTCTCATCTCTGATAAAATAGACTTTAAACCAACAAAGATCAAAAGAGATAAAGAAAGACATTTCATAATGGTAAAAGGATCAATGCAACAAGAAGAGCTAACGATCCTAAATATATATGCACCCAATACAGGAGCACCCAGATACATAAGGCAAGTTCTTAAGGACTTACAAAGAGACTTAGACTCCCACACTATGAGAGTGGGAGAGTTTAACACCCCATTGTCAATATTAGACAGATCAACCGACAGAAAATTAACAAGGATATCCAGGACTTGAACTCAGACCTGGACCAAGCAAACCTAATAGACATTTACAGAATGCTCCACCCCAAAATCACAGAATAGACATTCTTCTCAGCACCACATCACACCTATTCTAAAATTGACCACATAATTGGAAGTAAATCACTCCTCAGCAAATGCAAAAGAATGGAAATCATAACAAACAGTCTCTCAGATCACAGCGCAATCAATTTAGAACTCAGAATTCAGAAATTAACTCAGAACCACACAGCTTCATGGAAACTGAACAACTGACTCTTGAATGTTGACTGGATAAACAATGAAATGAAGACAGAAATAAAGATGTTCTTTGAAACCAATGAGAAAGAAGACACAACATACCAGAATCTCTGGGACACATTTAAAGCAGTATCTAGAGGAAAATATATAGCAATAAATGCCCACATGAGAAGAAAGGAGAGACCTAAAATCGACACCCTACAGTCAAAATTGAAAAAGCTAGGGTAGCAAGATCAAAAAAACTCAAAACCTAGCAGAAACAAGAAATAACTAAGATCAGAGCAGAACCGAAGGAGATAGAGACACAAAAAACCCTTCAAAAAATCAATAAACCCAGGAGTTGGCTTTCCGAAAACATCAACAAAATAGACAGATCACTAGCCAGATTAATAAAAAAGAAAAGAGAGAATACAAAAATTGATGCAATAAAAAATGATAAAGGGGATATCATCACAGATTCCACAGGAATTCAAACCATCATCGGAGATTATTACAAACAACTCTATGCACATAAACTAGTAAACCTGGAAGAAATGGATAAATTCCTGGACACTTGCATCCTCCCAAGCCTAAAGCAGGAAGAAGTCAAAACCCTGAATAGACCTGAATAGGCTAAATTATTCCTCAACCTTGCTTGAATTCAGTTTGACTTACTTGAGTCATATTTTGACTGAGTCATCCATGTCCACCTTTCTTCATACAGTACTGTTTCCTGTATCATCAACTGTTGTTCCGCCTTTATTAAGAGTGCATCACTATTTTCTCCAAAATTTTCTTCCATGCCTCTAACACCCATTCTACAACTTTTGATGTAAATGTTCAAGCAATGATGATCATATTACTTTTGCTGCTTACCTGACTATAAGACACTTTCTGACCTCAGAGATATTAAAATGTGAAGAAAAAGAAATGTACATCTTAGAAGGGAAACGTGATAGAAGGAAACAAGGTTTAAATACTGGCGAAATGAACTTTTTAATTATTATGTAATAATTTCTTTATCTTCAGTAATGCTTTTTGGTTGTCAGTGTTACCTGATATAAATATAACTAACATGACATTCTTTTAATTTTGCTGGTATATGTTTTCCCCACCTTCTTACTTTGAGAGATCAAGCCTGCCTTTACAACTAAGGGGCTCTAGACAGCTAGTGCTGGTGTTGAGCAGTGTCTATGATGTCTGGTGGAAGTAGGTATTTGACAAAGAAGTAACAGTACCTTTAAGATAAGACTTGTTTATAAGTAAATAAGATACACCTCCAGGGATCCCCAGGAATACTTGAGAAACATTGCAGAAGTGGCTAATGTCATCTGCAAGCATGTGGAGCAAAAGCCACTGACAGCTGAGTATTAATGTAATAATGATTCCTGTCTCTGTCTTCAATTGACTTTATTAGAATACATATACAACATATATACTTAAAAGCCAAGAAAAATTCTACTAACACCTTAGCCTGGATTATCACAAATCATCAAATCTGTAGGTTCTATTTCACTGCAAATAACACATATTACCTTTGGAATATGTATAACACTAAAAGTAAAATGAGAGAAATATAAGATAACCCTTCTAAAATATAATTGAATGATTGGGAAATAGGAAGACTGAAAAAAAGAAGACCTCTAAATCTGGAAAGAAAGAAGTCACTGATAAGCTCAGGAAAGACATTTACAGTAAAGTACAAGGACTAGGAGCCATATTAAAAGGAAATGAGTGAAAATCAATTACTCTCAACAATTTGTTTGAGGAATTTGGGGTCAAAGGGTAGTTGCATATTTCTTTTGAATCAGTCCATATCCAAAAATCTGAGACTTAGGCCTTCCCAACTAAATTGCCTCATGCTGATTATTTCTGTATATCACTTTAAATTTTTACCTTCTCATCTCTTTTTATCAGATTGTTTTCACAATCTGGCCATGTGGCCTTAACTGCTTTGACCATCCATTTTCCCTGTCCTGCCTCCTGCCACCTCTCCAGCAACCTCATCACCCCACTCTGAGTTCTTCCAGGAACATCATTCAGGCTATTCACTTACTCATTCATTTTTTCAATCAGTGAATATTATTGAGCACCTGCTGTGAACTTGAGGTTGGAAAAACAGCAGCGAACATTGTATAACGTTATCTGTTTCTCCTGACAGCATTGCTCAAGCAGTTCCTTGTGTCTGGAATGCTCTTTTCTGGCTAACTCCCACCAACCCTCAGGTACCATCTCTGCCAGGAAGGACACCTGCCCACCACTAATATGGCCAATAACTGAAGGTAGAGCTATAGAAGTTTAAACACAGGCCTGTAAGCAAGAAATAACTACTAGTGTAAGCTGCTGAGAGTTGGGGGCTATTTGTTACACAGCATCATTGCAGCAAAAGCTGACCAATACAAACAGGCAAGTTCTAGCTTTGAGCTTCAGGACTGGGACATTGTGAATCAACACTTAGCGTTTTTAGACAGGGTGGGCCAACGCTAAGAAGATGTTCTCAGAAAAGACAACATCTGAGATTGAGGGAGACCTGGGTGTGAGTCTTTGCTTTGTCATACAGGGGTAGTAAAAAGCCTAGTAATTAAAAAACACATTCTCTGGAATCAAGTTGCATGGGGGCAAATTCCAGTGCTGCCACTTATAAGCCATGTAACCTGGTATTAGTTTCTTAACTTTTGGGCCTCGGTTTCCTCACCTGTGAAATGGAAATAATTCAAGTACCAGCCTCACGGGGGCATTAAGTTTATTCAGTGAGCTAATATATGTGATGTGCTATGAGTTGCTACTTTTCAGTCATTGTGGGTGAGCTTGGCTTGGCAACTTTACTTCCAGAACCTTGTCATGTATCCAGCACACTTTGTATTCTTTGGATTATTAGAGACTCTAGCTGGCATGTTGTAGCTTTCTAGGCACCAAAACCTTCTTGCGCTGTCTCCATAGCAACTGCAAGCATAGACTCTGGAGTTGGACACACTCAAGTTCTAATCTGGTTACCTCGAGCAGCTGATTTAACTCTCTTTGCTCATCTGTAAAATGATAGCAGTAATTTCACATGCCTCTGAGGGTACTTTGAGAATGAAACGCAAATAGCGTTTTCTTTTTTTTTTTTTTGAGACGGAGTTTCGCACTGGTTACCCAGGCTGGAGTGCAACAGCGTGATCTCGGCTCACCGCAACCTCTGTCTCCTGGGTTCAAGCAATTCTCCTGCCTCAGCCTCCCAAGTAGCTGGGACTACAGGCATGCGCCACCATGCCCAGATAATTTTTGTATTTTTAGTAGAGACGGGGTTTCACCATGTTGACCAGGATGGTCTTGATCTCTTGACCTCGTAATCCACCCGTCTCGGCCTCCCAAAGTGCTGGGATTATAGGCGTGAGCCACCACGCCTGGCCGCAAATAGTGTATTTTTTACATAAGTACTTAGCACAGCCCCTGGCTCATAGATGGTGTTATTGGCTCTTCATGGAGAGAGGTGACCTATTGGAGAGCCGTCTGCTTCTGGGCATAAGCTTGCAAGGAGGGTGTGACCAGAGCAATCCACTCTTGCCAGTAGGACCCTTTGAGTCTTTTTCCCCAAGGTTGGCAAGAGCCAGGCACAGAGAATCAGCAGAGCCCATCTAGTACCTCCTTCTCCTCTATCTCCTAGCTGTCTGGCTTGATCCAGAAGACTTATGAGGGCCCCCTTCTTGTGAAGAAACTCCTAGTTGGAACCCATCTCTACAATGGCCCCATCCACCAGCACCACGATCCAATCAGCCTGGGGCGGGATGTGGAGTGCGCAGGTCACAAGAGTCTGTGTCTGGGCACGGAATGGTTAGGAGTTAACACACATGTGGCCACATTCCATGGCTCATGCCTGTAATCGCAGCACTTTGGGAGGCCAAGGCAGGTGGATCACTTGAGGCCAGGAGTTCAGGACCAGTCAGGTCACTGTGGCTAAGCCTTGTCTCTACTAAAAATACTAAAATGAGCTTGGTGGCACACACCTGTATGGTGGCACACACCTGTAGTCACAGCTACTTGGGAAACTGATGCATGAGAATCACTTGAAACTGGGAGGTGGAGGTTGCAGTGAGCTGAAATTGCACCACTGCATTCCATCCTAGTGGATGGAGCAAGGCTCCATCAAAAAGAAAGGAAGGAAGGGAGGGAGGGAGGAGAGAGGGAGAGAGAGAAAGAGGGAGAGAGAGGAAGGGAAAGAGGAATGAAGGGAAGGGGAAAGAAAGTAAGAAAAGAAAAGTTATACACATGTGCTTGGCGAGCCTCCTGGAGCAGGGGGTAGGGGTGGGAGTATTGTCCCTGGACTCAGAGTAGGGAGAGCTCCCCTTCTTGTGCTCCTGCTTTCTTTCTTGAAAATAGCATTTCCAAATAAAGAAACAGAGGGGACTCCTTCAGCCTACCTCAAGAAGACAAGGAGTCCATCTGACCCAGGACAGTCATCCAAGGCAGAGCTGTAGTAGTTAAACCACAGATGCATAAGCAAGAAACAGCTGTTGTTGTAAGCTGATGGAATCTGAGGGATTATTTGTTATGTAGCATCATCACAGCAAAAGCTGACCAATAAAGTGGAAAATTGGACTCAAGTGGAAGGGGGCGGTGAGAGAAACTTGGGTTAGGACTGGATGCTAAGGGCGTCCTCAGCCTTTGCCCTGTGCCCTTTGACACATGTTCCCAAACTTACTGTTCCCTGGAGTAGCCCACCAGGCCCGATGACCTGGTTAAAGATGTGCTGAGTGATGTGGGCATCCAAACCCACCAGGGGGTCATCCAGCAGGTACACAGCTGCCTTTCTGTTCACAGCCCGGGTGAGGCTCAGCTGCTGCTTCAGGCCCCTGAGAGATTCATGCCCTGTGGCCACAAAAGGGACAGTGTCGTGAGTCTGCATCTACAGGGTGAAACTGGGGAGCCCAGGCAGGAGCAGGTTGGGGTGTCTCTGCCCATCAGTGTGAGGTGTCGCTCCCCATGTCTGTCCCCTGGGGACATGCTTAGCTTCAAAGTCACTCACTCCCAAGCCAGCATTCCCTGAATCCTTACCGGCCTCATTTCTCCCCTTCCCAGCACGCTTCCTGGAGGAATTACCTGCGCTTCCCAAGCTATTCTGTCTCCTACTCACTCTCTGTAACCATTTGAGTCCAACTTCTGTTCCCTTTCTCCACTGAGACCACCTTTAATGAGGACACCATTCATTTCCCTATTCAATGATCCAGTGGTAACTTTGCAGTCCTACTTATTTTTATTTTAAATTTTAATTGATTTCTTTTTGTTTTTATTGATATGTAATAGTTGTACCTATTTGAGGGGAACAGGTGATATTTTGAGACCTGTAGAGCAGTGATTCCCAAAGTTTTTGGCACCAGGGATCTGTTTTGTAGAAGACAACTTATCCATGGACCTGGGCGCAGGGGGTTGGTTTCAGGATGATTCAAGCACATTACATTTATTGTGTACTTTACTTATATTATTATTATTATTTATTGAGTTGGAGTTTGGCTCTTGTCACCCAGGCTGGAGTGGAATGGCATGATCTTGGCTCACTGAAACCTCTGCCTGCTGGATTCAAGCAATTCTCCTGCCTCAGCCTCCCAAGTAGCTGGGATTACAGGTGCCTGCCACCATATCTGGCTGATCTTTGTATTTTTAGTAGAGATCGTGTTTCACCATGTTGGCCAGGCTGGTCTGAAACTCCTGACCTCAGGTTATCTGCCTGCCTCACCCTCCCAAAGTGCTGGGATGATAGGCATGAGCCATTGTGCCTGGCCTGCTTCTATTATTGTAAAATATAATGAAATACTTATGCAACTCACCATAATGTGGAATCAGTGAGAGCCTCAGCTAGTTTTGTTTAAACTAGACAGTCCCTTTGGGGACAATGGGAGACTGTGATAGATGATCAAGCATTAGATTTTCATCAGAAGCATGCAGCTGCAGGGCATGGTGGCTCATTCCTGTAATCCCAGCAATTTGGGAGGCCAAAGCGGGGGGGATCACAAGGTCAGGAGTTTTGATACCACCCTGGCCAACATGGTGAAACCCTGTCTCTACTAAAAGAATACAAAACCTAGCCACGCGTGGTGGTATGTGTCTGTAATCCCAGCCATTCAGGTGACTGAGGCAGGAGAATGGCTTCCACCTGAAAAGCGGAGATTGCAGTGAGCCAAAAATGTGCCACTCTACTCCAGCCTGGCAAAGAGTGAGACTGCATCTCAAATAGAAGAAGAAGAAGAAAGAAGAGAGAAATGAAGAAGAAGAAGAAGAAGAAGAAGAAGAAGAAGAAGAAGAAGAAGAAGA